CTGAGCCAATGCCTTGCTAAATTGCCCAGGGTGGCAATTTTGCAATCCTCAGGAGCCAGGGATTTAGCTCAGTGGTGCTGCCAATTGCCTTGTAAGCACAAGTTCAATCGATCCCTGGTACAAAAAAATAAAAACAAAAAACATGGAAGAATTATTAAAAAAAAATTGTGATCCTCACACTTCAGCCTTTGGGAGTACCAGGAATTGTAGGTATGCACCACCACCCCTGGTAGAATTCTGATTTTTTTTTTGAGGGTACCAGGTATCGAACTCAGCTCTTTGCGCTTGTGAGGCAGGTGGTGGAACCACTGAGCTAAATCCCCGGCCCATGGATTCTGATTTTTGACCAAGTTTAAAAAAAATTCATATGTAAACTGGCACATATTTTCTACCAACATTGTCCTTTCTCTTCAATTCCTTACATTAATACACCACTTCCTTATCCCTTTAGCTTCTTAGTATACAGTGCACTATTTCTTAGTATTTTCAGCTCACATATAGGCAAATTCTTATTTTCCACTTACTTTTTTTTTGCAATTCTTGAAAATGTGAAAGTATAATGCCAAAGTTATTCAACTGATTTTATTTTATTTATTTATTTATTTATTTTGAGACAGGGTCTCACTATATAATTCAGACTGCCCTGGAACTCACTATGTGGCCCAGGCTAGTCTTGAACTCACAGCGGTCCTCCTGTCTCAGCCTCCCAAGTGCTTGGATTACTGGCATGCGCCACGACGTCCAGTGTTATTTTATTTTTTATTCAACTGATTTTAAAAGGTTATTTGCTTCCAGAGCACATTATAAAATACTTAATATGTGAATGGAGCAGGCCAGCTGGAAGCACTGCAATGAATTGCTGGAGACTTCACAGGTGCCCACGGAAGGGTAGAAGTACTTCTCTGCCATTCATGACTGAGTACGACTCTCCTAAACCACCCCTCTCAACCAAGGCAGGGACAAAAGAATTAGCACAAAACCTCCTCTGAACCACAGCACAGGTGTCCTCTGGCTTCTCAAAGCAAGGTTTTTCTCCCTGCCACAGAGAAACAGACTAGAATTTAGTCAGCCAAGTGACACCCATTTATGAGGCACCCTATCTGCTAGGACCCAACATGGTTAACTGCTCTGGGGATAGACAGCAACCAGGACAGACAAGCGTCTCCATATACAGTTCAGGCTGGGCTTGAGCTATTTAGCCCAGGTTGGCCTCCAAATCACAGCAATTCTACCTCCGCCTCCTGAGCACTGGGATTTCAGGCATGCATGACTACATACAGCTATACCCTTAGTATTTTTGAGGAAGCTCAAAAGCTACTATTATAGCCTCACAGAAATACTGCCAAGTAATAGGCCTGGTTTTTAAACATGCTACTGTGGCAAGTGACATCATGTTATGGCTCCAACTAATGCAAAAGTGATGCACTGCTGGGCACAGGGTGCGCATCTGTCACGCCAGTGCTCTGGGAGCCTGAGGCAGGAGAACTGCAAGTCAGAGCCCAGCCTGGACAACTAAGCAATCTAGGAAGACACTGCCTCAAAACAAAACATTTAAAAAGGGGCTAGAGATGTAGCTTAGTGCAAAAGCCCTGGTTTCAATCTTGACAGCTTGTTTGGAGGTCCTAGCAGGGGAGCACAGCTACTGCATAGTCCTGACAGAGGAAACCGCCCCCCTTTGTGGGGGTGGGGGTGGGGGTGGGTGGTGTCCTTTGGGAAGGAGGGTGCAGTTTGAGGAGGGACACACACGGAGCAGTGAGGGAGGAAGGGGACACCTGCCTAGCCAGCCAGAGCAGCTGAATCAACCCTGGCAATCAGTGGAGTGACAGATGTCACAGCCAGATCACCCTCACATCCCGGGGTTTCAATCTCTACTACAGGTCACACAAATCCACTGGAAGTATCAGTGTCTAACTTGCTAACTTGTTAAAATTTGGTTGTAAAATGTAACACAGTGGGAAATTTCCCCAGGGTAAGGAAAGGATCTTCTGAGTTGCTTGTTTGAGCTTACAATGAGCTATGTCCTCATCCATTTTTAAAATTTGAGACAGGGTCTTGCTAAGTCATTGAATTGTCCAGACTGGATTGAACTTTCAATCCTCCTGCCTCAGTTTTGAGAGTGCTGGCACTAAAGGTGTTAACCAAACTCAGCTTTTTAAGCAATTTTTATAGAGGGTCCAATAATATGTTTTACTTAAAGGCCTGATGAAGTTCTGAAAAACGAGTGTTTCTAGGATATTTTCTAAAATATTTGCAAGGTTGTTTTTTTTTTTTTTTTTTGGTTTTGTCTTTTTGAGACAGGGTCTATGTAGTTTAGGCTGCCATGAACTCACTATGTAGCCCAGGCTGACCTTGAACATTTGGGAGATCTTGCTTCAGCCTCTGGAGTGCTGGGATTACAGGTGTGTGCCATCATGTCCTGTTTTGTTGTCTTTTTGGTACAAAGGATCAAACTCAGGTCCTTCTGCTTTCGAGGCAGGTGGCGGAATCACTGAGCCAAATCACTGGCCCTGTTGTTTTTAATGGGACTGGGGAATTTAAACCAGAGCATCTTAAAATTGCAAGGTAGGTTCTTGCTTAATTGCAGCTAGCTCAAAACTCCTACCTCAGGCATGTGCCACCACACCTGGCTTCATGCATGGAACAACTGGGTTTGTTTTTGTGTTTTTGGTACTAGGGATCGAATTTGGGCCCTTACACTTTCGAGGCAGGTGTTGTGGAACCACTGAGCCAAATCACCAGCTACAACTGGGTTTTTGTTCGTTTGTTTTTGGTAGTGGGGATCAAACTCAGGATCTTGTGCTTGTAAGGCAGGCGGCAGCACCACTGAGCTAAATTCCAGGTCCCTCACAACTGGTTTAATGAACGAACATGATAACTGAAAAGAATGAAATAAATTTAAAAGAACTAAGGCCAGACACTTGAAGCCACTATACTATACCACAAGGGGGCAATGTCTGAACATGAGGAAGCTGGTGTCCGGCTGGGCAGAACGCTGTTTCCTTCGTTAACACCACGCGGATGGCTGCAGCCTGGGAGGGGTGGGCTGGCTGCTTCTGCCTTGTCTTTGCTTCTCCTGTAGGGGTTGGCACCAGCTCTTCTGAATCCTGGCAGCATGGCTGTCGGGACCAAGAACAGAGGAAGCAGGCAGCAGGAGAGCAAGCAGAGCAGCTGGGCTTCCCCTTGGTCAGAGTAAACAGCCAGGAGGGTGTGGGTGTAGGAGCCTCCACCTGGAAGCTAAGCATAAACCAGGCACACGAATTACTTCAGCCTCGTTAAAGTGGACTGCTGGGCTTCAGCCCTAATTTTTCCATTCGGAAGACTTAAAAGTCAGGTCTCATAGTTTGCACTGCAAACAAGTTCTCATATAATGCTGATGCTGCAGATCTGAGGGCACCGTGGGAACCACTGCTATAGGGTTTTTCTGGCTCTGTGCTATTCTTTTTCTCAACACGCCCTTATTTTGTCTTTCCTACCACTTACCAACTGCTTTTCTACCATACCTCCCTTAGCCTCCTTTAGGAAAACAAAAAGAAAGACAGAAAACAGAGATGAACATTTTGTTCATTCAAGTTTGTTTTTGAGACAAAGTCTCACTAAATAGTCCAGGCTGGCCTCAATCTCTGGATCTTCCTACCTCAGCCTTCCAAATACCACTAAGATGGTACCACCACACTCGGCTTAGAATTGTTTTAAGGATTCCTCGAGGAATAACTCCAGCACTCTAGTCTGGATGTTAGGTATTTTATGAGACAGGGTCTGATTATGAAGTTCAGGTTGGCCTTGAACTCATGGAAATTCTCCTGCCTCAACTTCCTGATTGCTGGGATTAGAAGCATGAGCCACCATTCCCCAGCAGGGTTAGGTATTTAATTTTTTATTTTTTTGGGGGGGTACCAGGTATTGAACTCAGGACCTTGTGCTTGCCCGGCAGGTGGCAGCACCACTGAGCTAAATCCCTGGTTAGATATTTTAGAAGCAGAATTTATTCCAAATACACACATACATCCTTTCCTCTTTACCCACAATGGGGGAGACACAGTTCAATAAAGAGTAACATGCTTAGCACGGCATGGTGACGCACATCCACAGTCCCAGCACTCTGCAAGACTGAGGCAGCAGGATCACAAATTTGGGACCAGCCCAGACAAATTATCAACTTACCGAGACCCTATCTCAAAATAAGAAATAAAAAGGGCTAGGCATGTAGCTCAGTGCAGAAGCCCTTGGTTTAATTCCCAGTACTTCCTCCCCCCGCAAAAGTAACATTCTTTCCAATGAGATTTTGCTTTGAAGCTGGACATGGTGGCACATACCTATAATCCCAGCATTTGAGAGGCTAAGGCAGGAGGATCAAACACAGTTTGGTTTTTTTTTTTGTACCAGGGATTGAACTCCAGTCCTTGTGCTTACAAGGCAGGCAGCAGAACCACTGAGCTAAATCCCTGGCCCTAAAAACATTTTAATTATACTATAAACCAGTGGTGTTGGACCCATGGCACACATGCTGCAGTGGGCGGTTTGTATCACTGAAAGCTCTAAAAGTTATGCTATGCAGTCACTGCTCTGAACTTTAACTACTTTTTGTTTTGGTTTGGTTTGGTTTTTTGAGACAGGGTCTCACTATGTAGTTGAGACTGACCTGGAACTCACTATGTAGCTCAGGCTGGTCTCGAACTTGCAGCGATCCTCCTGCCTCAGCCTCCCAAGTGCTGGGATTACAGGTGTGCAACATCATGCCAAGCATTGAACTTTAACTATTTAAGTGTTCAGTGTTTCAGCATTTAAGTACATTCACTTTTTTTGTATAATCATCACCACCATCCATCTTCAGAACTTTTTCAACTCAGCAAACTGAAACCCCGACCTGGAATGCCCCTTCTCCTAGGACCTGGCAACCACCACTTTACTCCTTACTGCTTTTGGACTTTTTCTTTAGTAAAAGAGAGGCTTTGCTGCTAATGGGATGGTTCCACATATGCAGGCCTTCTTGCATATATTTGACTGAATTTATTACAGAGAAATGGAACAAAATGGGTTTCAAGACAGAAGAGGCGGAAACACAAACTGGATGTGCGCCTCCAATCCACAGGCCTCAGCAGCCCTGCCACGGATCCGCCCGATTTTTTCGCATCAAGAAGTTGATCTTTCGAGCCATTTCCATGTTGTAGATCCGCCGGCAGGATTCATAGCTTTGGCGCTGTCGACGGCGGCAAGGCTTCTCATAGTATCTTCGTCGCTTAATGTCCTCAATGAGCCCATCCATGGTAAGGATTCTGTATACACACAGCAAAGAGATTAGAAGTGTGGGCTCATTACTATTCCTTCCAGTTTCACAGATGTCAGAAATCAACTGACCAAAACTGGTGTTTGTAAAAATTACAGTGGGGGGCCAGGGATTTAGCTCAGTGTTTCTGCTGCCTGCCTTGCAAGCGCAAGGACTGGAGTTCGATCCCCGGTACCAAAAACAAACAAACAAAAACAAAACAAAACAAAACAAAATTACACTGGGAAACGGTGACAATATAAACTGCCTATGGAGGCCCAAATAAGAATTTGCAGGGAAATTAAAAAGCAACTACAAGGTTCTTTTTCTTGGAGAATTTATAGTCAGAGTCATGTTCTCAAATTTGTTTCTACCACAGTATACTTGACAAATATGATGTATCCCATGTAAATACTAGCTCCATATGCAATGATTTCCAATCATAGGGCATTTCAGAAACTCCAAATGAGATGAGCTGTTTGTAATTTTAAAAAAATCATTAAGGCTTGGGATTTAGCTCAGTGGTGTTGCACCTGCCTGGCAAGGTCCTGAGTTAGATCTCTGGTACCAAAATAAATAAATAAAATAAAATAAAAATATATATCTTTAAGGGTGATTCTTACTTGGTCATTAGTGGAGAATGTGGTCCCATCCTTATTATGTTTAAGAATTGATACTTGCACCCCCTGAGAAGTATCAGGGAAAGAGGTGGCCCTTATCATATTAGTGAAACGGGAGCATTCAAAAGTAACAGGCTCACCCATCAGTTCTCCACGTACCAGATCCTCTGATCACACTGATCTGATGACCGCCCCCTGGACACACAGTAGGACTCAGGCTGCCTTCTCATCCCCAGCTGTCAACATTCTGAAGGAAATTTTCTCAGTTTTGATACCAAGCCCAGATGCTATCTCTCCACAAAGTTTTCCTTTCTCTTCCTTCTCTGTGTATGTGTGCAATGAACCAAGAGCCTCCGACATATTAAGCATGTGCTCTAACTGCCCCTCATCTTCTTAAAGAAAACAATTTTATTGTATACCTATTTGACAATTAATTCATGCTGCCATTCTGTAAGTTATTGCTCAGATGTCTCCTTGAAGGCAGAAACTATATTTCATTCTTATCAATCTTATATAAGTATCCATTTAATTGATCTCAACCTGTTTCTTTCCTGCTCACCAAATTCCTTGCAATAGCTATTCATATTCAATTAATAATTCTCCTAACTCAAATTTATCTCTTCTCAATGAGTCACGAAGATACCGGGAACAACAATCCCTAGGGCGCTCTAGGGCACTCTAGGGCGCTCTGGCCCCATCTACAATGTCTTCCCCTCTCCTGCCTCATCAACTGGTCCTAAAGACTGCTGACACCTGGCACTGCCGCCCTCTATCCCCAGCTGTTTACGTGGCCTCATTCCTGCTTACCCTGTCCTGTTATTTCATGCAGAAAGTAAGTCACACACACGACTGGAGATAAGGGGATTGAGTCATGGCTATTGTAACTGTGAGAGAGGACCAAAGAAAATAAAAAAAGAAAAACCACCAGCTTCTTTTGCCCAGTGGGAAACCCCATTTATTGCTGTTGTGCTGCGCCACAAAATCAAAGATAACAATACATTGAATATAAACTTGAAAAGAACTTGGCTTTAGGTGAATTACAAATGTGAAGAGACATTGGAACCACTGTCTCACAGGGTCCTGCTGATTAATATCGGGAATGAAGGGCCAGGGTGCAGTGGTATACGTACACTTGTAATCCCAGCTACTCAGGAGGATCACAGATTTGGGGCCAGCCTAAGCAACTGTGCAAGACTCTGACTCAAAAAATAAAAAGTTTGGGAATGTAGCTCAGCGATGGAGCACTTGTAGCACATGTGATGCCTTGGGTTCAATGTCTAGTATCTAAAAAAAACCAAACAAACACAGAACGAGATAGTTTGGTTATACTGTGCTTGCTTAACACATACAGAGTACTGTATTAGGGAAAAACAGAAAGTATTTCTCTGGTGGCTTTGGGGTCCCTCATACAAATACAAATAGTTCCTGCCAGGCCTTTCCACTGCTTACTACGTAAGAACACATATACTGGAGCCTCAGTTAATTAATGATTTGTAGCTGGGCATGATGACACACGCCTGTAATTCTGGCATTCGGGAGGCTGAGTTTGAGGCCAACCTGTACTACACAGGGAGACTGTGTCTCAAAACAAAACAAAAGAAAACAGGGCGGGGATTTAACTCAGTGGTTCCACTGCCTGCCTCACAAGCTCAAGGTCTGGAGTTCTATTCCCGGTACCAAAAACAAAGAATGATTTGTATACCAGGCATAGCGGCACATCCTGTAATTCCAGTACTCTGAGAAGCTGAAATAGTAGGCTTGCAAGGTTTTTTGTTGTTGTTGTTGTTTCGTTTTGTTTTTGGAGACAAGTCTGTCATTCAGACTAGCCTTAACTCCCTATGACTATGCAGCCCAGGCTGGCCACCTCAAACTCATGGCAATCCTCCTGTCTCAGCCTCTAGAGTGCTCAGATTACAGATGTGCACTACCATACCTCACAGGATTAGAAGTTTAGGCCCATATTGAGTGACTTAGTCCGACCCTGTCTCAAAAAATAAAAAGGCTGGGAATGTAGTTCAGTCCAAAGACCCTGGGTTTAATCACCAATACTGAAAGAAAAAAAAATTTGTAGGCTACCAGAGTCATTTTGATATGTATTAGTTTGTTGAGATTTCAGTGGGCAGGAGATGAGAGCTAAGAGAATTGCTGCAAACTTCCAAAAGCAGGGGCAGCAAATCAATGAAGGTTCTGTTGGAAGCACACCCATGCCCAGACGTCATGTGGCTGTGAACACTAGTGCTTACAATGGAGAAGTGGAGCACTGAAGTCCGAAAGACCCCACTGGCCCATAAAGAGTAGATTTTTCCTCTCGATTTACCCACAAATACTGTGACCTCTTCTTTCAGATTCTGACCATCATCCTTCGCCATTCTGGTCCTAGACGATTCTGTTAACGCACAATGGGAGCCTCTCCAAAGTTTTTAGAAGGCACTCGTGGCTGGCCCCCACCTTGAGTCTGCCTGAACAGCAGAGGCAGGCCATCCAGTGGGACTGTTTTTAAATTTCTTGGGTGATTTCAAAAGACCCTTCCCAGGTGACTCTAGCGAACAAGTGATCCACACATTGTTGACTCCTTATCTTTAGCCCAATCCTATCTTAAGGGGAGATTAGTATTTCTGACTGCCTCAAACCGTAAATAAAGCTGAACTTGTCTCCTCTCAAATTCATTCAAAAATTGTAATAAGAGTGTGACAGGTGCAAAGATAAGGGAAACACTGCTGTAGAAGCACACAGGAGGCCGAGTGTGGGGTGCACATCTGTAATCTCAGCACACTGAAGGCTGAGGTGGGAAGACTGCTGTGAGTTCCAAGCCAGCCTGGGTTACATAGTTCAAGGGTTCAACTCCAGCCTAGCTACACAGCAAGATCCTGTCTCAAAAAACCAGAAACAGAGATGGAATTAATACGAGAAAATGAAAAATAATGGAAACAAAGTCTTTGTAGATAGGGAGGGAGGGAGGAGCTGAAGGGAGGGGAGAGGATGGGGAAAAATAAGAAGCCAAATTATGTAAAGGTACAGATTTCCAACAATGAATGTCATTATACTGTATACCTTAAATGTATCAATAAAATTAATAATAATGAAAAAGAAAACATTAATAGAATTATTTTTGTTTCCCAGTTGACTCTAATATGCAGACAAATGTGGGAACCAACACTCTAAACTCAAATAACTTGCCCTATAGAGCCTATGCTCTAGTCATAGTGAAGCGTGTACAGTTCTTCGTGTACCCTACTAGTTAGATTTTATTTTGTTCATGATGCTCCCTTTACTTGGAATATCTTTCCTTTCTTTTTCTGCCTGATGAAATCCTATTTGTTCCTCAAAGATCCAAATTAACTGTTATGTCTGTAAACTGGTCTAAGTGACGTCAGTTACTCTTCCCTCTCTTCCCAAAGCACAGCGGTTCTCAAATTTTAGCACGCAGTAGTCACCGAGAAAGTTTGTTAAGATTGCTGTGTCACCTCCAGTTTGAGATTCTGTAGGGCTCCACTATTTGCTTTTCTTCTTTTGGTGTTGGCGTTGAACCCAGAGCCCTAATCATGCTAAGCACATACCACACTGGGCTACAGCCCCACATATTTAGATCAAGTTCCTAGGTGATGTTGCTGTTGATGGTACAGGACAAACCTCATGCCACTTAAAAGATCAGGTCCTGAGCAGACAGTGTTATATTTAACCACATTAAAAAAAAAAAAAAAAAAAAAAAAAATCCTGGTTGTGCTTTCTAAGATTTGAGATCAATTCTTTTTGTTTTGTTTTGTTTTTTTGAGACAGGGTCTCACTATGTAATTGAGACTGACCTGGAACTCACTATGTAGCCCAGGCTGGTCTCGGACTCACAGCGATCCTCCTGCCTCAGCCTCCTGAGTGCTGGGATTACAGGCATGGGCCACCATGCCCAGCTTTGAGATCAATTCTTAACTCAACTCATTTGTGCATATATGATAATGCTTGGCAAAAGTTCCATATCAGTATATGTTAAAAAAAAAAATGAACCATCTAGATGATGGACAAATGTCCACTACACAAGGGATTAAGTAACTACAACACATAGAGTTTTGGAGGACTTTAGTTCAGGCAGCTTCAGTAATGCTACCTTTACTAAAATGGCACATTAGAATTTAGATAGCTCTCTTACACCCATGATTCTAATTACAATGCTACGAAATTGACTAGGTATTGTTGTCTACTTACAGATTAGGAAAACTGAAAGTCAGAGAGGCTGACTTGCCCATGATCACAAAATGTATGTAGAAATAGAATTCTGGTCTTCTTTTTTTATTTTTGGAGTCAGGGTCTTGCTATGTAGCCCAGACTGGCATAGAACTCTCAGTGATCCTCCTGCTTCAGCCTCCCAAGTGCTGGGAAGAATTCTAGTCTTTAGTGC